GGGGATGGGAGGGATGCCCATGCTCATGCCAGTTCGCAGTCACAACATCAGTCACGCCCAAGCGTGAGCGTAAGAGACTGGAGATCGTTGACCCCAAGACAGGGAAACCTATCGTTCTAGGTCGTAGCTCGTCCTCAGATTCGGCTGCAGAAGACGCCAAGGCGGCAGTGTCCAGCACGAGCACCACAGCGCAGAGTACTCCACAGAAGAAAGAGGAAGTTTTTCCACTAGCGTCGGAGACTGATTCGAAGCAGAATGGATCAGCGCAATCCGCCACGAAATCGCCCAAGAAGTCTTCCAAAAAGAAGATTGGCAATGAAAATCCTGCAGAATCTGTCAAAGAAGCGGCTGAACAGAACGGTGCAAAGAAAGAGAAAACGGTGGCGCCGAAGGAGACGAAGAAAGCAGCCGACAGGACTGTCGAGAAGTCGGTAGGAAAGAAGTCGGAGACGAACAAGATTGGGGCAACGACCACCACGACAACCACAACAACGACCACTACTGCGACCACAAGCTCTGGAGTCTCGTCCCCGAAAGCAAAGAAGGAAACCACCGCCAAGGAGACAACTGACGAATCTGCCTTTGCTAAGCAGCAGAAGTCCAGCTCTCCCAAGAAGGAGGCCTCTGAGCAAAATGCTTCCCCGACTGCGCTGCTTCAGGTTGTGGAGAAGGAGGACAAGGGGAAGCCCAACGCCACAGCGACAGCGACAGCGAACGCAGTCGATAAATCGACAGACGTGAGTGTTACGCTGCAGAAAAAGGCTGGTGGCAAGGTGACGTACACGCTGGAGCTTCTCATGAGGTATGGAATTATCATATACATTGCACTTTGGTTATTTTGACATGCTCACAGTGCTTATTCGCCGCATTTGTAGCTACCGAGAGCAATTCAAGGACCTCCCTGGCGCGGCAACTGCTCCCGATTCGAAGTGGCCTTCCATGGATATCACTAGTGAGGTTGCTGTCTCGCGTGGTGGATCGAGAGGAGGACGCAGTGGCCCTGGATGGGAACGTGGTGAGAGGCAATCCAGCGGGTCTGGACGCGGATCACGCGGTGGATCAGGCGGTGGCCAGTGGGCACGATCTCAAGATCTCCCGAAGCGAAGCGGTAGGGGAGAGCGAGGTGGCCGTGGCGGTCGTGGCGGTCGTGGTGGCCCTCCAGACCCGCCTCTTCTGGATGGCCCTGTTAAGCCTTTGACTCGGTCAGCCAACCGCTGGATCCCTACGAAGAACGCGTCGACCCTGGAAGTGACGAAAAAGAACGTGAACGGCATCATGAATAAGATGACGCGCGAGAAATTCGACCGTCTGGCTGGGCAATTGACTAGTATCAACATGGAAAGCCTGGAGATGCTGCAAGCAGTCATCAAGATCATTTTCGACAAGGCTGTAAGTGAGCCCAACTTCTGCGATATGTATGCAGATCTGTGCGTGCACCTGGAATCCAACTGGAAAGTCTGGTCCTTCTTGAAGATCGTCCAGAACGACGACGACAAGATGTTTTACTGGACTGCGATGTCTGATGCGGACTCGGAAGTTGTTGGGCCGTTCGACGATGTGATCGGAGCCTTAGAATCAGCCAGTGGAGATGAGTTTGAACCAGTCCCCGCTCCTTCCAGCATGAAACTGAATGAGGTACGCGTGCGAGGCCACAAGTTTATTAAGGTGTGGGTAGAGGAGGATCCGAAGGAGCCTCGATACTACTGGTCAGGCCAAGACCTGGATGACCTGGGAGACGATCAGGTGCTGAATGGTCCTTATGAAAGCCACGAGATCGCTAGTCGTTTTGCTATTAAGACGTGCTCTTTCAAGCGCATCTTGCTGAATGCTTGCCAAGAGGAATTCGAGAAGGATAACATATACGAAGAGCTGGAGAATACCTTCAAGAAGGACAAGGAAGAAGGCAAAATCACACCACAGATGGAAGCTGACTACGAGGAGAAGCGCCTGATCATGAAGTTACGAATGCTGGGAAATATCCGCTTTATTGGAGAGCTGTACCGAAAGGGAATGCTGCAAGAGCGTATCATGCACGAGTGCATTATGAAGTTGATGGACGTTCGTCTCAACAACGATGGGATGATGGTGTGTGTGCACCCGAACAATCCTCCTGACGAGGAGAGCATTGAGTCTCTGGCGAAGCTGCTGACTACTATGGGTAAAGACTTGGACAAGCACGGAGCGCAGGGCTTCATGCCGTCGTACTTCCACTATTTGGAGAACAAGCTGGTGAAAGACAAACGCCTGTCTTCTCGTATTACCTTCATGATTAAGGATGTTATCGAATTGCGCCAGCACAGATGGGAGCCGCGTCGAAAGGAATTGAAGCAGAAGACATTGAACGAGATTCGGAAGGAGGCAGAGCGGGAGGCTCGTGCGCCGCCCAGTAGCGCACCCAGTGGAGGCGGTCGAGACCGTGACCATTTCCGATCAGATCGTCGCTCCAACTCGTCTCGTGACGGCTTTAATAGTGGTCGGTCGACTATGGCGCCAGTGTATCAGCATTCGCAATCAATGAGCAGTCGAAGCAGTAGCAACAAGCAGATGACGCTCCCACGGGGCATCGGCGCGCGTGATGATTCAGTGAAGACCGGACCTTCGGGCAGACCTGCGGCCTTTGGGGTTAGCGCTCGACAAGGCGGACGTGGCCCAAGTGGATCGCCTGCGAGCTTCCCTAGTCGTCGTGGTCCGGCTGTTGGTTCCAAGAAGCCTCAATCTCCTGCCCCTCGTGCCAAGGTAATCCCTTCACTTGATGATGAAGCTCACGAAAAGATTGGCAAGAAGGCCAAGTCCATTGCTGAGGAATACGTATCGATTGATGACTTGAAGGAAGCTGAAGCGTGCCTTGTCGAGGTCCAGAAGGAGTTTAAAAACCACGAAGACGTCAACCGTATGTTTGCCTTTGAGGTATTGAAGGAAGCTATCGACGCCAAGGCGGAAGTTCGTGAGAAGATGGTGGATATGCTCGAAAAGTTGAGTCTGGAGACCAAGACTCTTACATTTGTAGGAATTCGCTACGCCATTGAGAAGACGATTGAGCTGTGTGGTGATCTGTGGTGCGATGTGCCCAAGCTGCACGAGCACATGTCTGAATTTGTAGTGCGATTCATGAAGGGTTCTTCTCTTACGGGCGTTTCGGTGGATTGGATGCTGGGTGAATGTCTGCAGTCTGTAGACAATGACGCGGTGGAGGAACTAGTTGACGGCGGTTTCCTCGTGGCGGCTCTCGGTGAAATTCTAAAGCTACTGCAGGCTGTAGATGTGGACAAAGCCAGGAAAGAAATCAGCGCTACGAATGTGACGATCCTCAGTGTGTTCCCCGTCGTACAAGCGGTCGCCCAAGGACATGCAAGAGTGGATTAAGAAGTACGGGATCGAGGACGTGTTACCGTTGGGACCTGCCTTTGGACTTGTGGAGCGTGTCAGCAAAAATTCGTCGTATGACGAAGTTGTATCGTTCATCACAAAGAACATCCCGGAGGCAATGCGCAACGACCCGCTCTTTGCGACATACACGTGTCTGTTTATCCTGAACCTGTCGAAGGAGGGAGAGCTGCCATCTGCAGAGCGGTGCATGCTTCTCATGGGGTTCTGTGGCAATACTGACACTCAAGTTCGACTAGTTTCGGCGATTATGCAGACGAAAAGTGACAGCGGTAAGGGAAAGTCTAAAGCGGTGTGATGGTGCGACGATAACTAACCGTTGATATTTTTTTTTTGTATTGGCAGACGAAGTGAAGAATCTCCTCAAGCATTTAGTGAAGGAAGGCGCAGTGCTGGCCCCGGCCTTCAGCAAATGGCTCGAGCTCAAGAACGATAATAGTGTGAGTAGGAAGCGTGCGCAGGAGGAGCTGGGTGAGTTTGTAGAGGAATTGGCCCGCACGAAGTGATCATCCGACCTCGAGTCTGGCCTCGGATGAGCTAATCGTAGAAGTCAAGAAAGAGGAACGGACATCTTAAAGTGAGCTTAGTGCGCTCAGGTGGCTGCTCTTCTTCAAGCTGTGCGGCGATGAACATTGCGGACTACTACGCGTAGTAGTCAGCTTAAAGCAACAAAATGAAAGTAAAAAAAAAGACCATACTGCGATAGTAGAAATATAAAGTTGCAAGGTCAAGAGCTACAATTTGACCTCTCGCTGGGATTGTCGATGTTGCAAGGCCTGCTCCTGTTCCTGCAACTACAAAGAGAAGGAATCCGCTTTAGATAGGTAGACGACCCTCATAAGAAGTTTACTGTACAGCAGAAACTCACTTCTCGAGATCGATTCTGCGTCTCCGAGACGACGTCTTCCGCGTGACTTTGAGCTGCGCCAGCTTGTTGATGAATCTTCTCCAAAAGTCGAGCATTCAATTGCACCTCGAGACGAGTTTGGTCGGCCTGAAGACTCCGCAGCTCTCGTTCGCGCATCTGCTCGAGTAAAACATTCTGCTGGGAGCGATTTCTCATCGCTCGTTGCTGTTTTGCGAGTTTTTCTCGACGATCTGCCTCGACGCGGTCTTGTTTCCATAGATCCGCCTGCTTGTTCAGATCTCGCTTCAAGGCCTTTTCACGCTCTTTTTTCTCCTTCATCTGTATGCGAAGATATTCCTGTTGCGCATGGCTTCGAGCTTCAGCATCTGCTCGTCGTTTGCGTTCGTCTTCAGTCTGCTTCTTGGCATATTCTTGCTGGTAACGCTGCACTCGTTCATCCTCCTCACGCGCCTTGGCATCTGTAGTGGCCTTGGCAGTATCATCGAATATCTTCATCTTCTTCTTGATGTTTTCCGCCATCGTCTCGATCTGCTTCCTGCGAGCTTCATCTTTCTTTTTTCTCCATCGCAATGTATTCTTCTGCCAGTTTCAGCTCCAACTCACGCTCTTGTGCCTGGTATAGGCGCTTCTGCTGGAGTTGAGCCTCGTTTTTAAGGAAAACTTGCTCCACACGGCGCTTCTCCGCGTCCTTCCGAGCCTTCTCGCGAGCCAAATCGTCCTTCCTCTGCTTCTCCAGCATCTCGGCTGCCTGTTGCTCCTGATTTTTCTTAATCGCTCTCTCTCTCTCCATCTGAGCTTGTTTTGCTAGTCTCTGCTGCGTCTGGACTGAAATGAGTTGGTGCTCACGTTCAATCCGTTCTTGTTCCTTCTTACGTTCCTCGTCTTCAGCTTCGCGAAGCTTTTCTAGGGTCTGGCGATAGAACTCTGCACCCTGTTCGCGCTCTTGTTGACTGGCATGGCGCTTACGTGAGACCTGTGCCTCCAGCTTGCATGTATACTCTCGACGCTCTCGGAGCTTCCGTTCTTTGAGACGCTGGGCTTCTATCTGCTCTTCTACGGAGCTGAACTTGACGATCTCCTCCCAGATGCCATTGTCGCGCTCTTTCTTTGGAGATACACGAGGCGGTAGTGCGAACCCCACACTCTTTTGCTGTAGTTGGGCCTCAGTGAGGTATCTGTCATCATCTGCAAATGGTCGACTGGTATGGACGCCATTGCATTTGGCATGCCGAACCTTGTTGTTAGAGCGCTCCTTGATATTAGGCGATCGTCTTCCAGTGTTTCGCTCTCTCGAGAGACGCCCATTGGTTGGCGGAATCGATTGCTCTTGGTTGCGTGGTGACGTCTTTCTTGCTGTGTGTGCAGCCAGCGATATTTGTTTCTGTCTGCGCATTGTGAGTTCATTGACAATCTCTGTCAGGGCTGCGTCCGATACATCTGCAGCCGGAAGCCCTCGATGCTTGAGGATTCTCAATATCTCCGACGCCATTAGTTCAGCCACTTTGGGAGGTTTGCGTAGCTTCTGCTGCAGTCGTGCACACATTGCGAGACGCAAGCTCTCTTTCATCTGCATCTGGCGAGCCTTGTCCCGCAGACGCTCAAGATTCACCGTGCGCACTGTGTTCATCGATGTTACCGACTGCATATCTGAAGTCCTGGAGCTCGTGGCTCGTGGTAAAGGCTTCCCGATCATGGTGGCAACTTGGAGTGCAAGTAGTGAAACAACTCCTTCGGTAAATAAAAAAAATAGATCACCAGCGTCAAACTTTTGACGCTGGTGATCTATTTTTTATTTACCGATGGAGTTGTTTTGCGAGAGTTTGAAAAAAAGTATAAAAATAGACTTCAGATCTTCAGCTTTAGGTTTTAATTTTTGGAATCTACGATATAATATCCAGCAAATCCAATAATATTATGACAACCATCGAGGAGGTGACAGCGCGCTTCGCGACGGCCCAGGAGCGTCTGGACGCTCTGGAAAAGTCGCTGGATGACCTGGAGGGGGTGGAGCGCGTGAAGGAGCATCTGAAGCGCGAAAATCTGACCAGCGCCGCGCTCAAAACGGCCCCGAGTGACTATTATGCTTGGACTCTGACCAAGAGGGCGTAATGACTCAGTTGCCTCTATGCCCGGCAGCTCGAACGCTCGACTATTTACAAGAATACTTGCTATTGCTGGCAGGAAACTACTTGGCTGCGAAATTCCGCACCTGTGCAAGAGTATCATCGTTGAGAATGTGGCGTGTGTCAACAGCGGGGTCGAGGATCCGCTAAATAGCCGGTGAGCTTCTCACATTCCTTAGCTGACTACTTACAAACAGTAGGTAGAGTGACAATTGTGTTGCCACTGCAGTTACTATTGTGTAGCGCTGCAATACAACTCCAAGCTGGACGCGGAGCAGCTCCGTCGTTTTGTGCGTGACAATATCCCCGAGGCGGACCGGCCGTCCAAGAAGAAATTCAACTTCCAACACGCTCCCGGAGAGGTGTCAGAAGAGCTGACGGGCTTTGGTCACAACGGAGTGTCTGCGTTCGGCATGAAGACGCCCATCCCGGTTTGTAGACTATCAGCGTCTCGAAGCATCCTATACTTGTCAAGTAACACGGACATTCTTGGTGTTGTAGGTGATCGTGGCTGGGGCAATTGCCGAGTTAAGGCCTCCATGCCTCTGGCTCGGCGGCGGTGCTGAATCTGTTAAGCTCCGTATCAGCGTGCAAGACCTGGTGAAGGCGTTGGGTGCACGTGTGGCTGATGGTATCACATCCCTCCGCGTGGACTAAGACAACGAGTGAAATATGCAACTTGCTCCAGTCCTACCTACATAGAGAGATCAAAGGTTGGGATCAGGGTACCGTGATGATCACAGACAGCAACCACCTCGCAGTTTTGATTAGGAATGAGAGCAATTGTTCCGAACTTCCAAAGAAAGCGTAAAAAACTCTAGCAATATGGTTCATTAGGCGATTGATCAACTAGTACCCAATTCGATGGCAGTACTATTCTTAAGGTCGTGTTTCCCTCACATCGGAAGAGTCCCAGCTCGGTGGGTCTAGCTCAAGTGTCGAACACTCGTCGAGCGCTACCGTTACAAAACGGACAAACGGAAGGAGAACCATCGTGCGCTAGTACGGTCCGTTACATTTAGTCTTCCTGCTGGTCAAGTTTTCAGTTTCTAAGGATTCACCACCCCGAATTTCATTCGCACATTTGCACTCCACGCCTCACAACAGCCAGCCCCAGTCGTATACTCTCCCACCAACTCGCCCAGATGAAGTTCTTTGCCACGGTCCTCGTTGCTGCTGCCATTTTCACTCGAGTTGTTGCCCAGACAGCCACAACTAATGCGCCGACAACGGCCCCTGTAGTCACAGCTGCCCCCTCCACGGCTCCTACGGCTGTCACACCGGCGCCAATCGCTACTACAGGCCCTCAAGCGACGAATTTACCACCTGATACGGTGGTACCGGCTACGACGGCCCCAAGTGGACCAACCACAGGTGCAGCGCCTACTAGCGATGAGGGCTCAACAGAAATCAACGAGACCGCATCGGCCGGCTCCGATTCTAGTGGATCAAGTGGATCAAGTGATGGCTCACCCAATGTAGGCGACACGTCCGGCTCCTCAGCAGCCATTAGCGGACATTCGATATCGCTTTTGTCTGCGGCATCTGCTACTGTCGCTGCCATGGTTGCTGCTCTCTTCTAAATACACTTCGATAGGCTTATATGCTTAACAAGGCATTAATGAAAATGCTTGCTTCAATACCCAAACTCACGTAGCACTCCAAGCGTTCATACAATTAAAAAAATCTGATATACCTCGAAGTAATTAATACTTAAGTAAGTCTTTTTGTCACTCAGAGATTTAGGTGATGTCACTTTTTGCTCAATAATGACACTTTAAGTGGGACCCTCACCAATTTCGCAACACTACACAACTCTCGTACAGTATGCCAACCCTTGATGCGCAAATACCGTGGGCCACACTTTATACACTTTTTGCTGTAGCTAAAAAAAAACTGGTATACATTTCCGCTCATCTCGAGTCGACAATTTGTCTATCAGGCCTTTCGGACGGGTACGAATAATTAATCTAATAGAAAGTCTCTTGAAATTGCTCTGATTACGCTCAAATTTGGTTGGCTGATTCAGCGTGCAAAACGCTTTGAAAACTCGCTCAATTTGTCGAGAATCGGACAGCCATGGCTGGCCGAAATTAGAGATCGGTTTACCGATTATTACGTGTAATTTATGTATGTGTAGCTATGACCCACTTGAGGACAAATCTTCTTTCTCGTCCAGGGCAGCTGACACCCTTAGACAGGATTGTGACAGCGTCAACACCTAGGTGGCGTGAAGCCCCCAGATAGTGCTAGGATGCAGTACGGAGAGTCTACCAGACAGCTACTGGTGAGATGACGCATGGCGCGTCACCGGGCTCTCCGATCTTCTATCACTACGTAACGTAGGTGCCATAAGCACAGACTTGTAGGGCAGTAGGTGTAGAGCAAGTAGGAATAGAATGTAAGACACGTGAGTGCCGGGCAAAGTACCACGACAGGACCACGGAGTTCTGGTGCTTGCTGCCTCTCACTCGTTGTGCACGCAGCACAGCAAAAGCAGTTGTGAGAGTGAGAGCTGCCAGCACCTGAACCTCCATGTTCCGCAAAGTTAGATTAGCACATACTCAGTCTAAGATAGTCTATAGAAAGCTAAGTAGTTCACCATCACCTGCAACGCAGTTGCAGTTGCTCACCGCCACCAATGTCGTCCTTCATACAGTCCTTGGTATCTTCCGCACGCCGCTCGCACGTGAGCGCGTTGCAGACCGGTACGCCGGGATGCAGTACATGCATAGACACGCGTAGGATTGTAGGTTGGATCGGTAGTACTGGTATTGCCAGTGTCTTGGGCTGTGGCAATGACGTCTGGCACTGGACACTGGCAGGCCGTAGCAAGTAGCATCTCACTGTAGCAGGATAGCATCTCACACTCCTACTTGATCTCGGCGATGCAGTGCCGAATCGACGCGATCACATCGCTTCATCCGTACACACACCACTGAGAATAGTCGTACGATAGCCACCACCACCGTAGTTTGCTAGCTGCATAGTCTCCCACTCGAATCGCACATGTCCGTAGTCCAGCGCAGTTGATTGCATGCTAGTGTTGTGGTACAGCCACACGAAACTGGTTCTTCCAGTCGGCACACAGGCACACTACATGTCATCGTCGTCAGTAATGTCTAATCCGTCGTTCTTGACCGCATCGCAGGTGACGCAGTCAAGGTATCATGCATCGCAGTTGACGCAGATGTAGCCTTTTCATTTACAGTGGCGGCCATGTCACTGTCTGCCACGATAGGCAGTACCTTCAGCATCTTTCGGAATCGGGAGAACTTGACCACCGCAAGTGGTTTGGTCATGATGTCCGCCACCATGTCCTCCGTCCCGATGTGCTGCGTAATGATCCGTTTTAGTTCCACGTTCCGCCGCACCATGTGGTATTTGTTGTCAATGTGTTTTTGCTTGCTGTGCTTGCCGGGTTTAGTCGTTAGAGAGATGGCTCCCTGATTATCTCCGAGTAGTACAGGTAGTGCATGTTTCCACACCAGTTCTCGGCAGAGACCTGCAAGCCACAGCAAGTCCTTTGTAGCTTCATCCATTGCAACGTACTCAGCTTCACATGTACTCTGAGCATTGATTTCTTGTTTCCTCGATGCATAGGAGACAACATTGTTGTCCATCGTCGTCACGTATCCACTGATGCTGCGGCGGTCAACTGGATCATTAGCATAGTCAGCATCCGAATAGCAACCCACACGTAGGTCACTCGCTGACGCAACATCCATCACCAGACCAAAGTCACGTGTAGCCTGCAGGTAGCGCAATACCCGCTTGGCTTGCGCATAGTGAGTATGGTCGTAGCTGGCTAGGTATTTCCCAAGATGTCTGGTTGCGTGTGCGATGTCAGGTCTTGAGGCACTTACAAGATACTGAAGCGCACCAACCAGCTCTCAATAGGGCAGGTACTCGGTCGTAGCAGGAACAACCGCCTTTGAGGGTGTCAAAGCCTCAGGCGTAGTACACCCATTGCACGTCTCCATGTGAAATCGTTTGAGTACTTCGAGTACATACTGTTTCTGGCAGTAGATAATCTGTCGACTGGGTCGGTTGATCAAGATCTCCACACCTAGTAAGTACTTCACGGTTCCCATGGTCGTGAGTTCAAACGTTTCTTGCAGCGCGGCTGCAATTCGAGCACACAGCTCACGTGGACCCATTAGTAATAGGTCGTCCACGTATACAGTTAGGAGCATAGTCACTTCTCCATCCTTCTTCAGCGCGTACAAGCCGTAGTCCGACTCCAGTCTTTCAAGCCCAAGTGTCAGCAACTTGGCATGTAGAGTTCGGTTCCATACGTTCGGTGCTTGTTTAAGTCCATAGAGGCTCTTCAAGAGCTTACAGACAAACGCTGGCCCATCTGTTTGAAAGCCTGGTGGTTGCTCCATGAAGATTAACTCATCGAGGTCCCCGTAAAGAAACGCGGTCTTTACATCGTACTGAAGAACTTCCCATCCTCGTTGAAGGGCGAAGTAGATGGCAACACGGATCGTCTCAAACCGGATTACCGGTGCGTAGGTCTCACTGTAGTTCACGCCCAGCTGTTGTTTGAAGCCATGAATCACGAGACGAGCTTTAAATCTTTTCACACGCCCTCGTTCGTCACGCTTAACAGCGAACACCCATCTGCACGTAATAACCTTGACGCCTTTGGCTGCCGCGCGTGGCACCAATTTCCATGTCTTGTGTCGTTTCAGTGACTGTAGTTCAGCAAGCATAGCAGCCTTCCACTGAAGCCAATGCTTGCTCCGACGTGCCTGCTTGTAGGTCGTCGGTATCTCAATGTCCATATTGATAGACATCACGTTGCCCACCACATAGTCAAGAAGCCGCACGCTTGGCTTCTGCGTCCTTCGAGGTCGCTTGAGACAAGGTTGAACAGTTGGATCGCAAATCTCAGAAGTTTTCGTCTCCTTCTTTTCTGGTTCAAGTTTCTTTCGCGTCTTTCGTTTTCGTCGCTTGCCAGACTTGGGTGCCGCAGGTGGCTCCTTCGTCTCATCGTTCGCAGCAACTTCAACTGGTGCATCTACACCGGCTGGCGACTCTACTCTTTGTTCGTCAGGTAAGTCGTCTTTCGCACTCCCACTGGACTCATGCTCTTTGTCCTGCAGGTCATCAGCTATTGGCACCATCTCGAGCTGCTTCGTCACATTCGAAGCCAGGCAGGTACGTCTCCATACTAGTCTTGATGCGTGCCACCGGAACACTATCGGGCAACTGATGATCACCATCGTGATATGCGTTCTCTAGGAGTTGCTTTACGTAAGTGCCGTCACTTGTAAACTCCTCGTGAAATCGCGTGTTTCGTCCACGTGCAGTCACGACTTGAGCTGTCTTCAAATCCAGAAATTTGTAGCCCTTGGTATCATGACTATAACCAAGTAATAGAGATATTCGTGCTCTCGGCTCCAATTTTTCCTTCTTTTGTCTGGACTCAGGAGGGACACGCACGTGTGCCACACATCCCCAAGTCCGAGGCTCATCCACATCGGGTGTCACACTGTACAGCTTCTTGTATGGCGAGACCAGTCCTAGCGGTTTAGTTGGTAGCCAATTCAGTGTCGTAACAATGTGTAGAAGTGCTTCTCCCCATAGCATGTTAGGAAGATGTGTAGCGGTTAGCATAGCACGGATGCGAGGCAGTACAGTGCCATTCG